AAAAACGTCTGAGCCAATAAGTGCACGGAGGAGCTGAAGGCCGGGCTCGGCAGACATGCAAAATGGTGTATTTGTTGACATCTCTCAAGATCCGATAGCGAGAGGTGGAGTCACGCATCGATCGATGAGAGACGGGGGCGAGCGGGGAGCGGTGAGCGGGCGAACGGCGCGCAGCAAGCGAACGCGCGACATATGACACCGCGCCGAAAAAGTTTTTCTGGTGGTAGGAGAATAATACACCATTTTGCATGTCTGCCGAGTCCGGCCTTCAGCTCCTCCGTGCACTTATTGGCTCAGATGTTTTTCTTAATTACACGATAATAATTACTAAATTTGTAAAATGGTATATAACTTTTCTTCTCAGCTTGACCCAATCTACTATAATCTTTGGAGTCGTTCAAATCGATTCAGACACCCTGTATATATATAATCTTTATTGACTCCCCTCAGGGTTGCAAAGCACTTTTCGAGGGAGTGTTCCCGAACCCTTTACACTTTCTAAACTTAGCCTACTTTTTTTCCGCTACGCGAAGAAGTCGTGTGCCCTGTGGCTTATCCCGTCACACGCCTCCTCCACCCTTCTCTCACCACGCACACACACGCTTGGACGTCCGTTTCCTTGGCCTGTGTTTTCCACATCTTCCCTCTAAACTGCTCGGTCTGCCCCTCCCCATTCCCTCCTTTCACTCTCAATCATTCATTCCTCGTTCACTCGCTCACTCACTCTCTCTCTCTCCCCCTCTCTCTCCCTCCCCCCTCTCTCTCTAGTTCTCTCAGCCACTCCTCCCCCTCCCCCTCTTCTCCAAGAATCCTCCCAACCTCTTGTTGCCAACACCCCTCGTTACCGTTCTCCCACCTCCTACACTCCTCCCACACGTGCTCCCATCTCTCTTCTCCCATTCCACATAGCCTGCATTTCCTCTCCTCCTCTCTCATCCAATACTGCCCCCCCTCACCTCGTTTCCTAGTCTGCTTCTCGCTATCCTTCTCCACCTACTGTCTCCCCATCCCTTTTTAAGATATATTGGTATTTGCTCCGTTTTGATATATTTATACCACTCGTTGTACTTCGAGTTCCTTATTTTTTCCCATCTCTCTTGTTTTCCCAAATCCCTCCCTGCCTTGATCAATTCCTCTACCATTGTTTCCCCTTTTTCCCTCCTCCTCCTTACCTCCTTTATCTCCCACCCTCTCCTCTCAAAGAATTCTATCCTGCCTCTCTCCCACCTCGATAACTCCTTCCCTCCTTCTGCTCTTCTCTTTATCTCTTCTAAACACCTCCTCGCTATCTCACTACCTTTCCCTTCCTCTAATCTTCTCTCCCATTCCCATGCTCTTCTCAACCCTGCCCTTTCCCTTAGCTTTTCCCTTTGCACCTCCTCCCTTACCATATACCCTGGCGTCCTTCTGTCTACTCCTAGTACCCATCTCAAATATTTCTCCTGACATCTTTCCATTGATTCTCTCTCCTCCCATCCCCATACCTCCACACCATATCCTATCACCGACCATACCAAACTATCATAAAGCCATATTTTCTTTTCCCATTCTCTTCCGAATCTTCTTTTGCCTATCCCCCATACTTGTCCCATTACTGCCATTCCTTGCTTAATTCTCTCCTTCACGTGCTCTTCCTGCCCTCCATTTTTTGCATAACATATCCTAAATATTTATATTCCTTTGTTTCCTCAATCCTGCTTCCCTTCCATCTCCAATTTATCTTTTTCTCCCTTCCTCCTCGTTTCCTAAATCTAACTATCTTTGTCTTCCCCACGTTTACCTCCATACCTTTCCTATCCATATATCTCTCCAGTCTTGCCATCATCGCTCTCATTCCCTTTTGCTCCTCTGCCAACACTGCCACATTGTCTGCATATCCTAGCGTATAAATTTTCTCCTCTCCCAATTTTACTCCTCCCCATCTTCCCTTTTTTAACACCTCTTCCATGTCTGCCATGATCAGGTTAAACATGATCGCACTTAACGGACATCCCTGCCTTACGCCCCTTCCTGTCCAAAATATCCCTCCCGCCTCTTCTCCTACTCTCACTCTGCTTTTCGTTTCCGCTAATATCTCCTCACATCTGCTGATCAAGCCCTCCCTGATTCCTCTCTCCCTCATCGCCTTTATAAGTATCCCTCTGTCTACCGAGTCAAATGCTGCTTTCAGATCTAGAAATAGTACCACCAATTTCCCTCTTTTCCTATTTGTTTGCCTGTTCACCAGATAATTTAGTGCATAAACGTTATCCATCGCTCCCATCCCTTTCCTGAACCCAGCCTGATTCTGCGGTATTGCTTCCTTCTCCTCCATTTCCTGCCTTAACCTGCCTGCTAATACCGACGCATATATCTTGTACGAGTATAACGTCGGCAATAGCGTGACTCCTCTGTATTCTTTTACCACTCTTCCTTCTCTTTTTTTGATTATCGGTACTATTATTCCCTCCTTCCATCCTTCTGGCCATCCTTCTCCTCTCCAAATTCTGTTACACATCTTCTCTATCCACTCCTCTATCTTTTCTCCTCCATACTTCCATGCTTCATTCGGTATCTCGTCCTCTCCCGTCGCTTTATTGTTCTTCAAATTCCTCACTACATTCCTTATTTCTTCTCTGCTAATCTCAGGCTCACTCCCTAGTAGCACAGTGCATTGGATAAACATTGGCCCAATATTTGGTTATATTGGGCCAATGTTTAACCAATGTTTGCCCAATGCACTGTGCTACTAGGGCTGTCCATTCTGTCTCTCTCCTCCCTCCCTCTGATCACTCTTCCTTCTACCCCCCCTAACAATTCTTTAAAATATTCATCCCATTCCTCTATCTTTATATCTTCATTTACTTCTCTCTTTTTCTTCTTTCCTTTCTGATTACGTTCCATATTTTCCCTTTCTTACTCTCCTCCATCGCCCATCTCTCCCATCTCTCATTTTCTTTTCTCTTCTTTTCATCGCATACTCTTCTGAATTCCCTCTTCTCGTTGCTGTACATCTCTTTCCCAGTTATTCCTTTCCTCCATCTCCTCAGTTCCTCCTTCGCCTTTCTCTTTAACTCCTTACATTCCTCATCCCACCATCCTTCTCTCCTCTCTCCTTCCCCCCTCCCTCCTTCTTCCTCCTTAATCATCTCCTCTTTTATCCTTTTGTTCATCTGTTCAATTTCCTCCTCCACTTCTCCTTCTTCCACTCTCACCTCTCCCATCCTTTCCCTATACCTCTCCCTCATACCTTCCGTCCATATTTCCCTTCTTCTCCCTCCTTCTTTCTTTCTTCTCCTATAACACCTCTCCTTCCCCCCTTCCATTCTTATCGTTATCGGATGATGATCTGAGTCGATGTTGTTTCCTACTTCAAACCTCCTAGCTCTTTCCCAGCCCTCTTAATTTACTATTACGTAATCTATCACTGACTCTTCTCTCCCTCCAGTGTACGTCCATTCTCCTTCTTCATCTCCTTCCATTCCTCCATTTACTATCATCCATCCTCTCTCATCGATGAAGTCTATTAATTCCTCCCCCTCCTTGTTCTCCTTTCCATCCTTCGATTTTCTTTTTTCCCACTCTATTTCTTCCTCCTCCCCTATTCTACCTCCTCTCCTTCCTATTCTAGCATTAAAGTCTCCACCAATTACACAGGTTTACAAATATCGGTCAACTTTTGGACCCAAGAAGACAAGAATGTTTTTTCACGTATTTTTGCGCGCCGAATTCAAATCCGTTGCCCGTTTCCCGCCATCAGCTCAGATTTTTGAGATTTCAGATGTTTGTAACATACAGGGTGTGGCCCAAAAGTCATGAAATATATTTTTTTGCCGCACCCCTTCTGGTCGCAGCGTGTTCGAACCGGTTGGATGAGGTGGGGGGGACCCTTAGCTTCATTGCACACCAATGGTCAGTCTGCTGCGAGAATCAGAAGAATCAGAATATCTGATTTAGTGCACCTTTGTTTCGAGACCACGTCACGACGCGCAATGGCTACTTTCGAGCAACGTTGGGCAACGTTTACTATATATACAGGATGTATCTGAATGATCTGTACTTATGAACTTGCAACTTTTCCGTAAGAACAAAATTTGCGCATACGTTTCTCTTTCGAATGAATTAAAAAATCAAACTGCTGTTATGTCCGTGGCAAAACCGAGGTGTAAATAAACACAGTTTGTAACTCCTATGCGATTTGACGTGAAAATTTCTCCAACCGTTGCAGGAAAATTTCGAACTGTCGTAACTCCAGAAGGAAGCGTTTCCGACATTATGTTCATGGGACATTTCTGTTTGTTTAGGTCTCTGATACTTTATTCCCGAAATTTGTACAGACCATTCAGATACACTCTGCGTTTACCTCTTTATCCTAAAAATAAATATTATATTAATTTTTTAATATTTTATTCAAAATATATTTTATATAATAAAAACACACGAGAACATGCAACTGAATGTTCTATTAATATTTAGTTGGAACATCGGCGGAACTTTCCCCAGTTGACATATTGATATTTTATGAATATTCCTGGAATGTTTCATTAAAATATTTAAATGTTCCATTCATGTTCCATGCAACATTCACGGCATAAGACAATGTTCGTTCCAAGTACATTCCACTGAAATGTTCCAAACATATTTTACGTTGTGCCAAATGGAGATACCAGCAATGTTCCATGGAACATGAATGGAACACTTAAATATTTCAATGAAACATTCCAGGAATATTCATAAAATATCAATATGCTAATTGGGTTCTTTCTTCCTCCTCCGCTATTCGTCTCAACATCCATCTCACTCTTCTTTCCTCGTATGTTAGATTTCCAAAAATACCTTTTCAAAAATACTGTCTCTACAAAAATCTTCTCTACAAAACTATCTTCTCTACAAAAGTAATGATATCATCAACAAATTACGCCAAATATAACAATGGATATTTATATATGTATAACGCGTATTTTTCTTCTACCGTAACCATTCTGTAAATACATCTCATTCGGCCAATAACGTATCCACAGCACCGATGAAAAGAATAGCAACTGTTTAGAAATTTAGAAACTCTGTATCTATTCAGGCGAATTAAGGCCTGTGTCCATGACACTAGTACTTGGACCAAGTACTAGCGTCATGGACACAGGCCTTAATTCGCCTGAATAGATACAGAGTTTCTAAATTTCTAAATAGTTGCTATTCTTTTCACCGGTGTTTTATTATTAACTCCATTATTTTTTCCAATAAAATCTTTAGTTTGATTTTTTAAGAAATATAACATTTTTTAATCCAAAACTAATACTAAAGCAGTTGCTTTACTATTACAATACAACAATACAACTAGTTTGTATAAATATCCGTTGTTATATTTGGCGCAATTTGTTGATATCATTACTTTTGTAGAGAAGATAGTTTTGTAGAGAAGATATTTTTGTAGAGAATATACTTTTGCAAAAATGATAGAGTAACAAAATATATTCGGTTGAATTGGAGCTTATACTTGGTGCTTTTTTTTTACCTTTTTTAAAAAGGTAAGTTTTTACGTGTAAATATTTCACGAAACCAACTCATCTAAAATATAAATGTAAACCGTGGTACTTTGTCGCGGTTACATCTCGTTTACGCAACGCGCTTTTAATTATCTATCGATTTCGTGTAATCTGTTCCATTTTCGGGAAAAGAGAGAAATTTGTGCGACTTCGGCGTTCGCGCTGTAATTCGCTCTGTCGTTCTTCGCAACTCGAACCGGCAGGAAGTAAAGAAAGTCGCTTATCGTACGTCGTCACATTGTATAAATGTAGGGGAAAGTGGGGTAAAGTGGGAAGTGGGGTAAAGTGGGAAATGCCATTTTTCGATGCATTTATGGGTATTGAACTATACCAACTGCTGTCAAATGTTCCTTGCTGCTACTACGTCATTTTTCATAAGTTACTGACGTGTGTGCACGCAGTTTTTCATTCCTCCGTGAATTAGTGAGAAAAATAGTTTGTAAAGTTGTTTTCCTTATTTTCGTGCAAGTGTGTTTCGAGGGTATTTTCAACGTTCCGTTTAAAACGAAAATTGGTAAATTATCTTCTGATTATTATCTTTCCAAATGTAATACGTTGTTTGGACAATTCTAACCTTGTGTCGACGCCATGCCAAAATCTTTAAAACGGCGTGGATGGGGTAAAGTGGGAAATCACTAAATTGTCATTGGAACAATGTTTTTAATAGAAATTATGTGTTTTTATGAAATATTTCATTGCTTTCAGTCATCATGCAACGTAAATACTTTAAAAAACGATAAGATCCACGTGTAGATGTTTCAACTTTGGTACAAGCACTTAAAGACGTCAAAATCGAGATGAAGGCCATATTTATAATTATTCTTAATTTCTTCAAATTTTTTATTTCGATTAACATTTTTGTGAATTCCAAGTTCTAAATAAAGATTTACCATGAAGAAAATTGCAGTTTGCTTCATTTCTAATCAATAATAGCACATTTCCCACTTTACCCCATATTTTTAAAAATAGCTATTTTTTACTTTTGTTCACATTGGAAGACATCTACGACAGAAGAATATTTTTATCTATTACAGATGGGCGAAACTCAGCTAATGTCCACTTTTTGGCGATGGCACACTCACTGTTGCATAAAAATTAATTTTTATGGCTCTATTGCTTCACAGTAAAAACTATTCCCACTTTACCCCACTTTCCCCTAATCAAAAATTATCTTGATTAATTGTTGCAATTAATAACAACTGTTTATCACTGGAAATTGCGCTCACATAATTTATTTCGAGGATTAGATTGAATGACAAAGATTGTAAAATATCGTTTCGTTGCTGATTAATAACTACTTCTTTACCGCAGATTATGCTTCCGATGCTCGCGTTTTATATCACCAATTCAAAAGCGATTTATCCATTCTTCCGAATCAAAAATACAAGTTGTTCGTTTGAGTAATTTGTATGACAGAAAGTCACGCGATATTTGTTAATAATATTTCGTGCGTTTCGCGGTATTTCACATCGCGTACGGGAGTGCCCGAAATTTCGCGCGATCGATGATTTTCGCGAGTGAGTGTTGTGTGAGTGCAACAAGGATATCTGAGAGGATGATGAGACTTGGGAGGCATCGGGCAACGGCGGAGAAATCGTGAGGTAAGTGTCTTACATTTTTAAGTTATTTGCTGTTTGTGCAAAATAAAGCATCTGTTCTGTGTTTTTGTTCAATATTCTGTTCTCGCAAATAATATTCAAAGATTCGCGGCAAATTGGTCGTCGAGTTCTAGACGGCGTTTCAATCTCTTAAACAACATTCATTTAGTTTTTTGGTTACTATGGCGTTGTTGATCCCTGCTCCCTTAGTAACGTTTCTCTCCTCAAAGCTTTTAGTCAATACTACGAATTAAAACGAGTTTCCAAAGACTGAGTTTTCTGAGACGAGTCTCAATCAGTTTACAATTGGTTGTGAGGAAGGATCCTTTCAACGTCGGTTTACAACCACGTACTGAGACGAGCGCCTTTTATAAAGATCTTTCTGCGGCGTTTACAACTGGTTTCCTGCAACGGAATTTACGAAAGACGAAACGTTCTTAAGGCTTAAACAAGTTGGATGAAACTACGTTTCAAAACGGCATCACCACTGCAATTTTGGTGACGTACATACACTGTCCAACGGGACATTTGCAAGTTACATTCTTTCTGCGGATCAGGGTGCTTTCTCGTCCTCATATAGGTGATGGATGCAATTCCTGCCTAGAGGACCGATCCGACAGATATTCTTTAATTTAATTCTAATATCCACTTTCCAATGTTCATTTTGTTCTTCATTAAGTATTGTTGCGAAAGGTGCGTTTAAAGCAGTCAATTTTTTATTTGGTTATAGCCATTCCGATATATTGTATATACAGGGTGTCAGATTCGATATGGACGACCCCAAAGATTATAGTAGATTGGGTTAAACTGAGAAGAAAAGTTATATAAAATTTTACAAAATCGTAATTATTATCGGCCTAATTCAGAAAAACGTCTGAGCCAATAAGGCCGGACTCGGCAGCATGCAAAATGGTGTGTTTGTTGACATCTCTGAAAAATCGATAGCGAGAGGTGGAGTCACGCATCGATCGATGAGAGACGGCGGCGAGCGAGGAGCGGGGAGCGGTGAGCGGGCGAACGCGTTCGCTATCGTTTTTTGAGAGATGTCAACAAACACACCATTTTGCATGCTGCCGAGTCCGGCCTTCCGCTCCTCCGTGCACTTAT